ACCTGCCGATTGGAAGAAGGGCTACCTTGTCAAACTCCCAAAGAAGGGTGAACTAAGTCTTTGTAAGGACAAGAAGTGGCGCGGAATCATGCTCCTGTCCACACCAAGCAAAATATTATGCCGCATTATCCTGGAGAGGCTGAAAAATGCTCTGGATTCAAAATTACGATCAGAACAGGCTAAGTGGCTACAGGAAGTACAAATCATATGTGGATCAAGTTGCAACGCTACGCATCATCAATGAACAGAGTATAGAATGACAGTCAACTCAACTCTACCTCAACTTCATCGACTTTGAAAAAGGCCTTCAGTAGCGTCGACCGAGAAGTAATTTGGAAACTGCTTCAACACTATGGAGTACCACAAATCTTTACCAACTTTATTCGACAGCTTCATGAAGACGCTACTTGCCGAGTGATTCACAATGGAAAGCTCAGTGACGCCTTTGAAGTGGAGACAGGAGTAAGACAAGGTTGCCGCGTACTATCATCGATGATCTTCCTGATTGTGGTCGACTGGACTGAACTGGATCATGCAGCGAACCGTGAGAAACGATAAGGTAAACCTAAGCTGTTTGACCGATGCAAAGAGCCTAGAAGATTTGGATTTCGCCCATGATGATTTAAGTCTAATGTCTCACAAACTCGAAGATCTACAGGCAAAAACCAACAAGTTATCAGAATAGGCAACGAAAATGGGACATCCAGTGAACGTAGAGAAGACAGAAATGATGAAGATACCCAACCACAACCACCACCACCACCAACAACAACAAGCTGGTGCTTGTTGGGCGGATGGACGGATGAAACCTAAAGGAAGGAGTCTCTTTCACTTACCTAACTAGCTAGGCAGCATCGTTTCAACTACAGGCGGCGGCACAGGCATAGATGTGGATGTCAAAGCCAGTCAGGATCGGAAAGGTAGCAAGACAGGCCTTCCTTCATTAATCTGAAACCAGTGTGGAGATCTACTGCACTCAGCATAAAGCGTGAACAACATCCGGATTTTCAACCCTACTAATGTCAGTCAAGTAAGTCAGTGCTTCTATATGATGGTTGAGAGACTTGGCACATTACGAGAAGCATCTCCAACAAACTACAGACATTCATGAACAGCTGCCACCTACGCTCACTTTGTTACTGAAAGAATAAGCAACAAGAAACTCTAGCTAGCTGGCAACGAACCAATCAAGAACCTATCACCCAACAAACATGCAGAAGGAAGTGGAGATGTTTTAGGCATATACTGAGAAGGCCGACTGCGGACATCACGAGCCAGCCCAGGCCGTGGAATGGAACCCAGATGGGAAGCGACGAGTTAGTTGTCCGGGGGTGACATGGAGGAGGTCGTGTGAGGAAGAAATTAAAGCTTGTGGGCAGTCGTAGAGCCAGGTTAGGAGGACTGCAGAAAACAGAGTGCAATGGTGACGTGCTACTGAAGCCCTATGTTCCACTAGGAACCCATGGAGAAATAATAATAATAATAGAAGCGTAGGTGGTTTCTAACTAATCCCCTACTGTGTCCATTGGTTAGCTCCATTTTATCTTTGGAGGAGTTTTGTCACAAATTGGCATTAACTTGATGACAACTACTGGGAATCAATGGTACACTACTGGGTCACTTGTTTCTCCATAGCTTTTATTTCATTAGTAATGCCCACTCTCCATCTATCTCATACAGGTTAATCTCAAAATATTCACTTTTCGCTATGAACATGGTACAAGTTCGAATTCAATCTTCTATTCAGTTTCTAGCTGAGAATTTTTTTTCTCTCTGTTTTTGTATGATTACATAGTTTGTTTCTTTCCGATTGTTTTGTTAATTCCCAACCTGTTGTTAGCTCTGTGTGTACGTGTGTGGTGGGCATATGCCTGTTTGAGTCTAGGCAAATGATGATGACAATCATAATAATAAAGGCAATAATAACAAAGTGAAGGAAGAAAACAAATCATCAAGGTTTTTTTCTTTGCAGTCCTCGTTCTGAGCATCAAGCATGTCTAGACGACTGTGTAGTTGTTGCTGTTATTGCCCCCCTTCTTATTCCTCTCTTCTTTTTACTTTTTGTACGTCCCATCCCCCTCTCCTTTGTTTCCTTTTAATCTACCGCCCTATCATCATCATCATCATCATCATCATCATCCTCAACAGTAGCAGAAGTACTAGTAGCTACTCTGCCCTCTTTCTTCGTTTCGTCTTTTTCTTCTTCGTTTGTTTGTTTGTTTGTTTTCTTCCCATATTCTAAATCATACTAACTAAGTGACCAACTTTTGTATACATTTTATTTCACCCCTCTTCTATTTTGTCTGGCCAGGTTTGTTTATTTTTTTGTGGCTCTCGTCTCTCCCCCTCGCATATAGTATAATGTCTCTCAATATTTATATATGCGTGTGTATCTATGTACGCACACGTGTGTGTGTACACCTACACCCCTCTTTGATGGTATATTACTGACTTGGGGTTAAAATGTGACTTCATATTGACTAATTGTTATGACTGCTGATTTTCAGACAATATTATCGATTTCTTTTTGAAGTCTATTTTCTAGAGTTTTATTTAGTATAAACTATTATTTTTATATATAGTAAGTGACTTTGTTTCCGCCTGTAAAGCTATTCATTCAGTACTGAGTGTTATTCACTGCTGTGTGTGTATGTGAATGATTTGGTATCCGATGTGATTAGCGTGAACAAATTGTTCGTAGGATATAGTTGGTAAATGGATCCCCAAACAAACGAGTATCGGGCTTTATTCATCTTGATGACTCGTAGTGGAATCCAGGACTCGCGTTTCGTCCTACTTGGCAGTCGTCAGCTCGATATGCCTGCGCACCAGTGAGTGATGTTCCCAGTGAGACTCTAACCCAGTACCCATTGCTTCAGCCATCATAGCGTTATCTACTAAGCCATTAGTGCAACGAGTATCATTTATCGTTGTTTGATACTTGTTATTTCCCGTTGCTACACTGGGTCGAATCGTTCGATGTCTGTTGGCAGATGGGGTCTCCTGAGGAGGTCTCGATACTCCTGAATATTCAATATGTTGTTTTTATAGGAGCTCATCTGCTAACAGAGGTCGGACAATTCGACGCATTATAGCAACGGGAAATTACAAGTATCAAGCGGTTATCGGGTCATTCAGAAGAATCCTTTTGGATCTTAGCAGTTCCAGGATTCCCGTGATTAATTGAGTCAACAGGAGAGTGTCGCTGTTGTGAGAACGTCATGCCTCCTTGTACAACAGCGTTTTCTTCCTCTTCTTTCTCTTGCTTTCTGAAGACAATGTTTCTGCTGAAGATGAACTCAATCTGGATACTGACAGATTCTCTTTGATCCATTCTAAAACAGGCCTATCATTATTACTACTAGATGCTTTGACCTGTGATCTATTGACTTTGTAACTTGCCTTTCAACCAGTACATCATGGATTCGAACTAAAGTGGTGACTAAATAGGTGACCTCTCAGACTGACAAGCGTTTGATACCCTGTATCCCGTAATATTAGGTATTGCATCGTTGTTACAGAGACGTCATAAACTGACGTGGTAAATCATCCGATTATCTGAGTAACAGAGGTATGCTTATACAGTATTCAGTAGCAGGTTAAATCAGATCGCAAAAAATCGAGAACAGAACCTGGAGAAAAGATGGATCATATCAAGCTACTGTATTTTGTAATGATGGAAATATTATTGTATCGTAGTAAACGAGCAGAATGCAAAGAGAGGCGGGGTTTGTGGGGAAACAACTGAAGGTTTAAACAAACCCATTGCGTCTGATACGATAACCTATCCGTACTAAACTACAAGTCGGTATATATGGCAAGTAAGAACTGTATGCCAAAAATATACTTGCAGATTTGATCTACACAGGCAGAAGACTGGATGTTTCCAATGTGTTGACTGTGGGTTAACCAAATTAATCTCTAAGAAGTTGTTACTAAGTAACGTCACGTCCAATAGTAAATCTTTCATGATACTAAACAGCAATAATGATTCGGCAGCGTTGTTAAATACCGAATACCGAATACTAACTAGACATCAGTGAATTCCCACAAACCTCCAAATTGAATAGTTTAACTCAGATGATATTACATATACCTTCATCTTTACTTTCAGTAACTTGTAATTGTGTGCATTTTTAACTAACTCTTCTTACTTTCTTAGCGATTAAACTGTTTAGGAAAAGCTTACTTGCCAAAAAGTAGAGTGAAGAATTAGACGTATCATAACACCATCGAGTGTTAAAATTCTGGCACTGATGAGGTGTTCGATGGCACTTGCGATCGATGACAATAAAACTATTAGACCTTATAATAGCGTCACATTTTCAAAACACATTGTCGTTATTCGGTATCTGAGTATATGGTGTTTCAGTCTACTCAATATCCCGTGTTCTTTTCACTTGAACTTTTGCCAAACAATCCGATCGTTTGCACTACTTACATTTTTCTGACATTCCGTTATATACTACTAGGATGGATCCTTATATGTAACTTTCAGAGTAGTTTTAACCCTCCCCCCCCCTTTGATGTGACAATGAGCAATAACATCTGTTCGAAATATCATTCAGTAAATAATTCTGTTCCAATCTTGAGGTTTGTGGAGATTTACTAAGTGAATCACTGGAAACTGACCCAGTGGCTGAATGCTTTAATGCGTTCGCCGTGAAACCTGAACATCCTTAGTTCCATCCCTAGCTGGGTCGTGGGTGCGTACTGCTGAGAAGTCCCATACTAGGACGAAATAGCTGTCCAGTGCTCCCAGATTCTCAATGGTTCCCCAACTGATGTCAGTCCATGATGAATACTACTTCTAAGTGATTTCAATTTGGAATTCATTCTGTATCATTTTGGGAAACAGAACGAATTAGAAAGTTGCGAGATTTCGCACACGATTCACACAGTATCCGAGTTCTACTCTCAAATTAATCGATCAGAAGAGTTTTGTTTTCGTAAAAGATTTATTTCTAATGTAATCTTTACCCTCCTTTCCATTTATACAGACGTTGGTATCCGAACACGAATGGAGCAAAGCATCAAGTGAGTTATTCCTTCTGTCAGTATTTGAAACACGGACTGCATTTTTTTCGTTTTGTGACGCTGACTACTCATAAGTAGGCGAACTGGAAAGTCTTAAACTCTATGGAGTGTGGGACAGATCAGGTTGATGCTATCACTACCATAATAATTCATTTTGTTTCTGTAAATGTCATGATAGGAGGGAACTTTTAGTTGAGCATCCTTACATAAATTTCTTCCCTATCAGGAAAACATTTTAGCGGGTAAAATAAAAGGACTAAATGGTTTGTATCAAGTTCAACTGCTGAGTTATGTTTCTTTCCAAATAATCGTGTTTTGTTGATCTAATGCTAGAAGACTGCGCTACTAATCAGAGATAACTACTTGCTTGACATCTTTTTTGACATCAGTCTTCTATTCTCTCCTTCGTCCAGGTTGTCAAGCTATGGGTTGGTAAATCTGTTCAGCAATAATACCCTATTTACACTTCACAGCATAACTGGAAAATGCGTTACGCACGCATTCCTAGTCACTGTCTACCCCGTTGCGGAATACCAGCTGAAGTACGTTTAGGCTGTAGAGTGATTGAAGGAGACTAGGAGAAAATGCGGAATCAGTCCATGAAGTCTCTGTTTATTTTGGTTCGTTGTGTGGAGGGGGATGTGTATGATGGAGTTGTAGGCTTCCAGAGTTGGGTTCACATGGGAACTGAAGTCGGCTGTTGGCGATTCTGGGTGATACGACCCAGATGCATCCAGACGTTATCGCCATCTTAATAACCATAGGGAGAATTCTTGCTTTTTGCATCCCTTCTTTTATCATTTTGACTATCTGAGGTAGCAGCCGTGATTTGGCAGATTGGTATTTATACTGGGTGGTGATTGAAGATGAAGTGAAAATTTGGAGCGCAGCGGGATTCGAACCAGCTATCAACGGGTCCCCAACTCGGTTTCCGGCCTGGACCTCGAAGGTAATTTGCTAGAGCATCGGGTCGGTATAAATCCCTCCTTTTGTCTCTACATCTTTTTACTACTTTTGACTACTCTCCTCCTTATTTTTCTATCTTTTACCTCTCTGTCTTGGTGTGATGATATGAAACATGGCAAGTTGAATCATGACAAAGGATAATGCCAAGTTGCGTGTTGACAGTAACTGACTGACTAACTTCGTATCATTTTGTGGAGATGATGGTGAGGGTTGAGACTAATAACTTGGGGATTAAGAATCCCCACTCAGCTAGAAAGCGAAACCGTTCACCAAGTTTCTATTTTTCTTCATTTACTGAGATGAGCATACTTCTCTTTAGTCGTCTGTAAAGACTAGAAGGAATCCAATATGAGGGTGTACTAACAAGCAGCAAGAAATTGCTCAGTCGGCATGTCTCTGTCTTTCCCCAGTGATTTGAACATTGAATCTGTCATGAACTCTCGATAGACTTTTAAAAAGAGACTCAACTACCAAATACTTTATCACTTGGTCTTACATAATTGATTATATTCATTTATATGTTTCCCTTGCACATGTAGGGTTCCACAAAATCTGCACGTGGTGAGGCTGGAACCACAGGAAATGATACAATCTCATCAAAAGGCGCAGTGACCACAACTTCTACAATAGCAACACCACCGTCGCTGCCGCCATCGTCATCATCATCAACAACAAGCACAACCACAGAAACAACAATGATTATAGATACACATTCTACGCCACTATCATCACCAACTCATTCAGTTATGTCTCATCAATCGTTAACCACACTAGAATCAAACAACCCATCGACCTCGCCAAAATCAAATTTCTCCCCTGAAATCATCACATCATTTCAATCTATTGCATCGGGTACAACTCCATCACAATCATCTCCTTTACTGTCAGCTTTACTGTTACCAGGTTTAAATAATCAAGAGGCTCTTCTTCTCAGTAGAAATTCCTCCTTAAATCAAACAAATTTCATTAAAACTGAGTCTGAGATGGTGATCTCATCAGTGATGACTACAATTCCATCTGCAGTCTATGGTATTAACAGTAACAGTAGTAGTTGTTGTACTAGTCCTATGAATAATCTGACAATCTATTCATCATCACCAGTTTGTACAACTATTATGCCTACAACAAGTTCAATGTCATCGTTTATCACCACTGTGGCGATTTCAATGACAACAAGAACTTCACCGGTTATCATTGGAGAATTAGATAAGCTAACCAATATAACTGACAACAATAATAGTTTGGATTCAACACAGGTAGACATTGAAATGACAAGGTGAGCTGTTTTATTCCTCTCCTATTTATATTGTCTTCTTTTATCAGTATCTTAATGCATAGATCAATTTAGAGGTTTGTGGGGGATTTATTGATTGATTTCAAATTGATACTCATCATGGATTGAAATCAGTTGGAGTAGCATTGAAAACTTGGACAGCTGTTTCATCCGAGTATGAGACTCTTCAATACTGTAGACCTACGACCCACCAGAGATCGAACCCAGGACCTTCAGGTTTCACAGCTAGCACATCATTACTAAGTCACTAATAGGATACGTGTTTCCTAGTGAGTAGCGATATGAGCCTGGTATGTGATACTTCAAACGGTGAAGTATTTATCTCCTAACCCACTGACTTATCATACTCATCCTGAATGTGCAAGTGTGTCTGTTTAAACAAATGATGATTGCAGAGTTGCTGAGATCAATGACAATTGTTTGGGAACTTTGTTTCATCGTTATAAGACCCAGTTTTATCCAAAGTTTATGATGTTTTGTCGTTAATTTGCTCAGCCTGACAATGGCAGCTTTCATTATTTCAACCCACGCAATTTAAGCAATCATGAAATCCAAGGGAAATTAGCTGTTGCGCATTTAGTACTGATGAAATCACCTGAGATAGCTGTGGTTTGATTGACTGGTGCTGTTGACATGGAATGGGGTAATTGAAGGGGAAGGGGAATTCAAAGCAGCCACCTCTGAGTTACTGACTTGGTACTCTGTCAACTGAGCTATAGGGACTAGTTGCTGATCAGATCTGAATTCCTTTTCAACCACCAATGATCTTGCCCAGTCACTATGCTAATCTATGATACTTAACTTTTTATACATCATAATCACATTGACTGACCACCTAACTAAGAGTTTTATAGTAGATAACATCAGGCTGAAGCAAATGAAGCTAATCATCAAGTTTTTCAATCTCTCTGGTTTAGTATATGAACCTTGTTGGTGTTAGTCGAGGAGACTGATAATCGAGAAACTCATCTTACTTCGTAATAAATGTGATTGTAGTTTGAAATTCACTACATATAACCTTCAACTAACACGTATTTCTCAGTTACTTTCTACTGTACACGTAGCCATTTGATTAGTATCCTAGAGGACAGTTGAAATCGTTTTTAGTATAGGAGTAAAAGTTGATCACTACAGTAGATTGTAATTCCCTTTTAGTCTGTTTATTAGAACTGTGAAGCAACAGTATCATTTACTAGATAACAACTTTTTGGACACAGTTTATTATCCAAAGTCATATCAAGATAACTTTACAATTTGCAGACAGAGTTTATATAGGATGAAATGCGCATCCTGGATTCCACTGCTAGCCACTATCCATTATTACTATAGAGTTTATATAGTTGTAATCTCTCCTTCTCTGTAATGGCAAGGGTAATATGATTCTCTTCTCATGTGCAGAATCATTTCTATTACTGGGTGTATTTGGTGTTGAATTCGATGAACAAAGAGTCAGTTATCAATCTCCCCCTCACTCCATCCAATTAAATTAGTTTTTAACGTTGTCGCTCTGTCCCACCCTATTGTGTGATTATGTGTAATTGCGTGTGTAGCTATACTTAACCTTTCCTCTTAAATTTATTATCTTATTAGGATCTACTGAACTTGATTTGTGCTCTGTTATTCTAATCGACTATGGTTGACTGCTTTCACCTATGTATTTGACCTCGCAATTATTGTAAAGGATTCGGTACACTAAATTATCTTGCCTAATTGCATCAATAGGATCTTTTAACCTACAAAGCTTGTTTCTAAGCGAGTTCATTGGTTTGAATGCCATTTTAAATCCAGCCGGCCTTATTTAAAATTCTAAGTAACCCTTCTGAGGTGCCTTCCTTGTATAGTAGTACAGTAAAGGCTCTGAAGTCTCTCTCATCCCTATCACGCATCATTGTCATTGTTATTATTATTATTGGTAGTAGTAGTAGAGTTATTATTGATAACGTCTGTGTTACTACTAGTACTACTAAGCATATTTTTCCTTCGATTTCTGATGAATTTATTTATAAATTGAGGTGGGTAATAACTGAGACGCAAGGTATTCTTGATGTGTCGAGTTCCTTGTCGTAGATTTTCTGACCTACTAGTGAGCTTTTTTGGCTTAGCACTTAGGCATTTAACTAGACCTACTTTAACTGAGATAGGGTTAGCTGATTTGAAACTTAAGTAGAGATTCGAATAGGAAGGTTTTCTTTAGACACTAGTCTCTAAACTTCCATTTTGTTTTCGTTTAGTCTTGCAATCCAACATTGCTACCACATTTTCATCACTTTCTAAGTCAGAGGTCACTCAGTCTCTCATAATCAGCATAAGACCAGGCATTACCGCATAACGCTCCAAGTTGCCACATCTCAACCCATATCACCACATCAAGTAACAAGAAAATAAAATGGAACATGAAGAAGGAAAGAAAAGTCAGTCAAACGAAGTGGAAAGTAGTAAAAGAGAAGGAGGAAGAATAAGATGATGAGATTAAGTAAAGTGGTTAGTATGAGAATGATGTTTGTATACATCTGCGCCACTGATATCGGTTCTCAGCCATATCACCTAGAGTCAGTCTCCAATCACTGGTTTCTCTTTTCCCACCGACACCAACCTGTTAGTCTCCATCGCTCCCTACATGGCTCAAACGAACAGTCAATGACTTCATGCATTGATGCCATGTTTCAATCTGGTTATCTCAACGCTTTTTCCAGCCTGAACCTACTTCAGCTAGCATTGGGTGACAAGACAGACGGTGGTTAGACATACGTAACACCTGTCCCAACCAGCTAAACATCTTAGTCAATCAAGGTTCACAACCATGATAAATGACTTACATCTCCTGCCTAGAACCCTGCGCCTGACTTCTGTGTTACTAAATGTGGTGACACCACGAAACATGATCTATGCTACGAAGGTAGTGATGGTCAAACACTTGAAGCCTCCTCATGTCTTCTACCTTTAATCGCCATGTTTCACAACCATAGAGTAGAACAGAGCGGACTGCATCACAGTACACTTGACCCTTAATAGACAGTCGGATATCACGGCGACGCCACAGATGATGTAAGTTGGTGAAAGTCAACCGAGTCTTTTGTATCCGTGCGAAGATTTCATCGTCCATTGACCAACGCACCATGACTAGTTTGACTTCCCGTGTAAGTAAAGTGTTCAACGCGCTGAACTACTTCACTCTCTATTGTTAGTCAGGGTATCGTTGAAGACCAGTTGTGAAGCAACAATTTGCACTTGGTTGACAAGAAATTGCTACTGAAGGTGTCCAGAAAACTCTGCATCTTGTCAGCGTCTTGATCTAACAGGGGAATGTTTTACCGCCCTAGTGCCTAATGCTGTGCCTACGCCTGCAAAACCACGAGAGCTGGCCTTCGAATCTCATCCCACTGTCCAGGAGATGTTAAGTGAATAACTGCACATGGGTCCTCTGTGTGTTTGTCACAAGCGCAATACATCCATCGCTCGAGGTGCTAGAGTTTTGGGCAATGAAGCTTGTTAGCTAGGTTGACGGAGGGTGCGGACATTGAAGACTTAAATGTGTAATTTGGCATGTGGTTTCACGAGAGCAGTAATGCTGCACTGTGTACTTAGGTCATTGTCAAAGGCTGCAGAAGTAGAAGAAATTGAAGATGATGTAAAATTGTTAACTGAGAGGCGTGAAGGAAGACTAGAAGATAAGGAAGATGGAGGTGGATAGTGGTATGAGGGACCCTGAGCGTTGACAGAGTTGTGAGAGCGACTGACACTTCCTGGCTACCCACACCGTGGAAGGCTAGGTCTTCTTGAGGCACATGAAAAAGAAGGGTTAGTGCGTGATCACAGAGCCCAGGAGATATCTTCTAGAGGCTGGTCATGTACGACTTTTTTGATGCCACGAAAATTGGCCTTTATTGTGGAAGGTCTGGTCGGACATTCACCCTTTGGTTTTGGATCACCACTAGCCACTGATAACTAATCTAAGCCATCATAGTGCATCATTTCTTTGTTTAGGAACTTGTTAGGGGAAGGGTAACTGCTTTTTATCTGATTACTATCCAACAGACCTTTCTGGCACGGTAGAACCTCGACGGAACAAGCTTTCCATCAGCATAGATCGTTGGGTCATCGTGTGGCATACAACGCCGACCACCACATCAAGGTAGCAGCTATCAATCAGGTAAATTGGATTGGGTTCACTACTGAATTTATATGTACCAAGAACCCATTGGTGTGTTCTGATTTCAGTACTGTGAATGTGTTGCCTACATATCAAAATCATATCTTTGGAGTAAGGCCAAATGTTTTGAGGACTATCCGTTCCTAACATTGATAACCGAATCTTTGTTTATCGAATCAACACGAAATACATGTAGTAATAGAAACGATTCTGCACCTATCTCAGATATATGGAAAGTTCTATTACCCTTGTCACAAAGAAGAAGGAGAGAAGATTACAACTATATAAACTCTGTCTCAAAGTTGCGGAGTTACCTGACATGAATATGGACAATAAATTGTGTCCGAAACGTTGTAATACAGTAAATGATACTGACAGCTCTAATAAACAGACTAAAATGAAATCCATTTAAGGTTTTCTTCTAACGAAGCTGTCACATATTGATGAAGGCTTTCAAGTTGCAACCCTGCCACGTCAGCTCAATCCTAATTTATCTCTGCCAGCTTGAGTAGTTTTATAAAGATTTCAAAGACTTGGCTGCCTTTTGCCAACTAACGCCACCTGTGGCTCCGCCGTGATATCCGATTATCTATTAAGGGTCGCGTGTACTGCCCAGTAGTCCGCTCTGTTCTACTGTATGGCTGTGAAACATGGCCATTGACGGTGGAAGACGTGAGAAGGCTTCAGGTGTTTGACCACCATTGCCTTCGTAATATAGGCCACATTTCCTGGTGTCACTACATGAGTAACGCGAAGTCAGGTGTAGAGCTTTAAGGAGGAATGGAAAGTCAGTTGACACAGTTGTGAACCTTGATCAACTGAGATGGTTGGGACACGTGTTACGTATGCCTAGTCGCTGATTGCCTCGTCACCCAATGTTTTTCGAAGTAGGTGGAGGCTGGGAAAAGGCCTGAGGTGGCCAGACGAAAGCATGGTGTCAATGTATAACGTCTTTGACTGTTGGTTTAAGCCGTGTGGGGGCGATACAGACTAGCCGGTTGGGATCCATGGGACAGGAGAAACCAGCGGTTGGAGACTCTAGATGATATAGCTGAGAACCGATGTCATTGGCGCAGACGTATCCCCACACGCATTATCCTGATCTTAACGCTATACCAAATCTCATCACTTTCTCATTCTTTCTTTATCTCTTTTAGTACTTTATTTTTCTTTTGAATGAATTTTCTTTTCTTCATCTTCCACTTCACTGCCTTTTTACTTGATGTACTGACATGAGCTGTAGCAACTCAAACGGTTACGCAGTAATGCCTAGTCCTATGTTGATAGATGCTGATAATGATGATAAAGATTTTAATACCTACGATGTTGAAGTTTGTCGTAGCTACCCTATTGCATGATTCACAATTATCTTTTTCTCTCTTCTACTATTCTAGTACTTCAGAATCCGAAAAAATTTGCCTCATGGAATCTAAAGTTGCGACTGAACAAAATCTGGTTAGCGAAGCATCTGACCAATCATTTATTTTACCAATGTCTACAATACAAACAGATCCAGTTTATGCTTCAGTTGACAATCCTACAATTAGTAGAACTGGAGATATGATTCCTTTGCATAGTACAGTGATGAATCCGCCTACTACTACTACTACTAACCCCAGTAGCACCAGCACCCCAACGATTACTACTGATATAAATGAGAGTGACAGTATTACTGGTTGTGGTGAACAGGATAACGACGACGACGATGATGATGATGATATTGATAACAACAGCAGTGTAACAGCGGCTAATTCTGATGCACGAAAATGGCCATCATCTGTTCGCCTAGTGCCAAACTTGCTACGTCATCCTACAAAATATACCACCATTTGATCATTTTTATCCATCTGTAGAGAAATCGATTGAAATTCGGTGGCACCAACACACACACACACACAGACACGCTCACACATGCAACACACTTGAGAGTCACTTTGAGATTTTCGACAAGAAACACACAGGAGATCGGTTTATTAACTAATTTCTTCATAAAGTGCAAAAAATGGGAGTTCTCTATCCCGCAGTTCATCTGTCCCCATGTTCGTCTTTTATTCTTTACCGTTTTGTTGCTTGCCTACTTGTTGTCGATATAATTTTACATAGTAATGCACACTAATCAGTATTATTATACAATTACCATCTATGGCGTCCTGGTGATTATCGTTGCAATAGTATTGTCCTGCTTCCAACTGGTCAACAGACAAGGAAGAACCAATAGGCATTGTTATTATTATTATTATTACTGTTTATTGTATTCAAATGGGAGATGATATAACCAACTGATGTATTGTACATACATTTTGATCATGTCAAAGTTAGTGATATATTTGCTGCAGATATTGAAAATGATGATGAGAAACGTCCTTTATACTGTTCTATCGAGTTGAGTTTCTTTTCCTCTATATCATCTTTGTCTCTTCTCCTTCTTTACCTACCATACAAGGTGTTACTCTCTACTTTTGTTGACAATTATATTGATATTACTAGCAGTAGTAGTAGTAGTAGTAGTAGTACTATTACTAATAGTGTTAATGATTATGATAGTAATGGTAATGGCAGTAATAGTACTGATATGTACTGATGTTCACACGTTTACTCACCTGTAAATTTACTCAAACACATACACAAGTTGTGTGGTGTAAAAGGTGGAATACTTGTTCTCGAATCGCAAATGTATCCACACACACACACATACACACACACACACACTGAAATGCGAATGAATACAATACTTACCCCGTGAATAAAAAATATTACAGACAATGTGTGTAGTAGACATAATTATACACATGTTCACAGAATAACTATGATGGATTGTTATAGATACTAGAGGGATAAACTCACACTCTCTCCTCGCCCCGCACACACAGATAGACAACTTTGCCATTTACAAATGAAATCAACTGTAAACAAATCACCCCCTTCTTCGTCTTCTTTTTCTTCGTCGAAGTCAATCAGTATCGATTTGAAAAGGAAACAGAAGAACTTTCCCCTCATTTTCTCTGTAAATCTTGTTTTATTTTTGTTCTTCTTCCAAGGTGTATGTGTGTATGTCACATATCCCCACAGTGTGGAAACTTGTATCTTCTGTCGCCTTGATAAGTATGATTACTTACTTTTTTTTCGATGTCCATATCTTCTGCAAAACTGTTGTTTTACCAGTCATTGTCATCACACCATCATTATGATCACTGCCGACATTGTATTCATCAACAATCTCATCAAAATGCCCATCAGTCAGTTTGTCAGCGTCACCTGTCAATTATATTTCCGGGTCATGTGTTACCCTTCCCCTTCTTCTCTTTGTGATGGAGTGATGATATGGTTTTTATGCCACGAAACGAAATTGATTTTTTGCTATAAAAATTTTCTGCTCAGACTTGTTTCCTGCTACCCATCTCCCACACATTCACGATATCCTACCAACACACACACACACACACACACACACACACACACACACACACACAAATATACAGAGGCATTATAACGTGAAGAAGATGTATTTTGAAGTTTGTCGATTGTTTCATGGTCTTTTCATTTCTCACCATTTAGTTTCTTCTTCTTAGCGTTGTGACTTCCTTCAGCACTCTAGTCGTCTGCGCACTACAGGTTACATAATAAGCAATGTATTAACTGAAAACGGAACAAATATACATACACACACAAGTGAATACAAAGGTACAGTGGGACTTGTACGCCTGATCAACTGCTTTCTTACAGGAACTATGAAACAAATGTATTCCTTGACAGATATTAGCAATTGTTTGGATAACAAGACATGGAATGAATTTCATGAATAAGGATATAAGCTGGTCAACGATAAACACACACAGACACACGTATATATGTAGAGCCCTTGTTTATGTTCTCATGGTTTCTTTTTTCACCATGACGACCAACTAAATTGTTCTTCACTTTGTTGTACGCCTATGTCTGTGTGTGTGTGTGTGTGTGTGTACATGACAGGAAACAATTTATCTATGAATCATTTTCTTATTCTTTTATTGTAAAACAATTTTGATATCGATCGATTTTTGTTGATCATTGTTGTCTCACGCCATCACCACCGCTATCACCATCGTCACCTTTCTTTATTGTACACTTTAATGACTGTGTGCGGTGGAAGCTTGTTATGCTGTCTCAAAAGAAACAGATTTCTTAAATGTATTAGTTGCCATTATTATTATTATTATTATTGCACGTGTTATCAGTATGCGAGTTGAAGGTGAACTCTTCAAGGTAGTTTAACTGATTGATGTGCGATTTCCTCTTCGCGTCCCATATTGTTTCGGTCTTGTAACTGAAGAGCAATTGAACACAACCTGCTAGTAAGATAGTTACACTACCTCCATTTCTGTATCATCCACCTGTTTAATGGCTATTTTCTTCTCTTTATGCTTACAAAAGACCTTGTGATGATGAGGTTGATCAGTGAACGCTTGAAATGATTTGGGGCTTTTATAGAGGCTAAAGGTGGTGACACTGTGGCCACAATGAAGACGACGGTGATGACAATACCAGTAACAGTGTTGATAATAATCATGTACACATGCATACGTTTATTAAGGAATACTTAAATAGGCAAAAGTATACACATTTGTACGCATCTGCTCTTCACACACACACACGCACAAGTACGAGGGTAGAACAGAAGTCAACCCAGTTATTAAAAAACACATACACACACACACACACTTTGCAAGCGTTATTAATCCCCGGGTACCTGGATAACAGTAAGAGGGAAGAGGTACTAAGCCCCCCCCCCCACCGCACTACTACCCCCACAAAAACACTAATTGCTAATCCCAGTGCATTTCTCCCTGTATTCTTACCATATTGTTTTGTTGGTTTTCTAAAAAAAAATTTCTGTCCATTGACCCCCTATTTCTTATTCATTTATCGCCATTTCTTGATATGAGAGAATAATTGAACAGTCTATGTTCTTCATATCTTCTACGATTATTGTTTTTGTGTCTAATATTAAATTGTTATCAAAAATGCAAAAAGAAACACATTGAAGAAATTAACTTATTGTTTTCTAATTATGAAAAGTTATGGTTGATTGAATGAAGAATTCACATTGCAACTGATGACTTTAAGCTAGAGAGTTCGATAGTTTCACCACACATGTTGTTCCAGTAATTAGACAGACGAATTTATTCTCTTAGTTGATTGTTGAACAGTCGAAGGGAGCTGTCAATCAAGGAATAACGCAGACCTTCAAAGGGTTGAATTCATGTTAACTAGTGCCGATGAAGTTGTATTAGATATCGATTGTTATCACACCAAATAGTGAAGCCAGAGTCATATTTTCTGCCTAGAGGCTTGTGAAGATTGATCGATTTTAAGGTGGGATTCATCACAGAGTAACTAAATGACTGGGGAGTCCCACACTATGATGGCTGCTACCTTGACATGTTGGTCGGGTTGGTACATTAGAATCGCCTGACGACTTACACTGATTGGAACACTTTTTCCCTATGATAGGGAAGTCGTACTGCTGGCTGGTTGCAATGTGACAGCAGTAAGGTGTTTCCCTTGGATGATCAGAAGTGCTACGCTGATGCTGCCTCCTCTAAGGGAAGGGGGTTAGAAAAGGTTGGTCCCCCGAAGCAGCACACTTCCTGCCCCACGGTTTTGTAGTGTCAGTGGCATGGCTGATATCACTCGACAAAAGTCATGCTACATCACGAACTGATAGTAATCAGAAAATGTAGGCTATTGGATTCTGACGAAGTAGCTGAATGACGTGGTCATCATGAGACCTGACTGTCCTGACCATGATTCATGGTGGGGTTGTGGATATGTACTGGTGAGGATTTGCGAACTAGGATGGGACGGTTGTCCAGTACCACTAGGTTTTCATATGTTTTCTAGTGAAATTGGGTTAAACCAATAACATGACCTACACATCAGTCATACAGACTTATTACTTCGCTAGTTTTTTACTTTTTGCCAGGTTTAGACTGGGTGTCGACGCCAAACTGAAAGACTTTGAAGACGGGTTTAATAACCACAGGAATAAACGAATATGATTTCTCTATTTAACAAGAAAACCATCTTTCTAACCTGAAAAGGAATTCCACTTGGTTATTTAAGTACTTAATATTTAGATGACCTTCAAAGTTATTCGGCCAGAATACTCTACGGTGATTTTGAGAATGACTCTAATGCCACCACAGCTAATGATGAAACAACTAATCGGGCTCCTTTATTTTGGTTGGTAAGAGAACTTTTCCCCTGTTGAATAAGCAGACTTAGTTGGTTCTCATCTTGACAGTTTGAGATAGCTGTGGTTTGGTAGACTAGTATTGATACTGGGTGATGATTGAAGGTGAAATGAAAATTTGAACCACGACTGGATTCGAACCAGCGACCATCGGGGTCTACATTCACATGGTAGTTGTCGGACAAGACTCATAGTAATTGAAGTGAAATAAAAATATGGTCAGTAGTAGGATTTCTTAGCTCAGTTGGTAGAGCGTCAGACCGGGAACCCGGTGGTCGGTGGTTCGAGTCCAGCCGTGATCCAAATGTTCATTTCACTTCCTGTCATCACTCAATATCAATTATTTCCATCAACTGTTGTTAAGATGACGAGGGGGGATTCAGTTGATTCTTGAATGAATCAATAAATCAACCCCTATAAACCTCAAAATTGAAAAATACTTCAGTTTGAGACTACTATAAAGAGAAATGGTTTCATAACTGATTGCTACAGATATATATAGGAATACTGGGCAGCTGTTTTGTTCTAGTAAGGGACTCCTGAGTAGTATCGCGGGTAAGTCTTTGCTTATCCAACATGATATGAATATAGAAGATAAATG